GGAGGAGGAGGAGGAGGAGGAGGAGGAGGAGGAGGAGGAGGAGGAGGGACGAGAGAGGACGAGGACCAGCTAGGCGCGCTCGCGCTCCCCCTCCTCCTTCTCCCCCTCCTCGGGGCGAGGGGGGTGCGGCCCAGGCACTCGGGCAGAGGCGGGCGAGCTGAGACGGCGGCAGCTGGCCTTAAGGGAGGCCCCCTGGCCGCCACGGCCGGAAGCAGCTCGGACCATGTGGTGCGTCGCGACCCCGGGAGAGGCCCGGGGAGCGATCTGGAGCTGCCGCTGGTCGGGCGCTGCTGGAAGCGCCCCTAGCCCAAGGAGCCTGCAGGATCTCCAAGGGGCCCCCGCGGCCTCGAGGGCGTGCCCCTCGCGAGGCCTCGAGGGCGCCAGGGGCCCCGAGATGGAGCGAGGAGCTGGGGGCGCCCTGGGCCAGGGGCACCTCTAGCCTCAAGTCGGGCGTGCCCCTCAACAGGAGGGAATTTTCCCCAAACAGTAGGAAAGTAGTCGGGGGACGATTTTTGGAGTTTTTGTTGGATTATCTTTGGGGCATTTGGGGGATTACCTTTGTCCGAATCCCCCTGCAGGGGGACATGCCCGACCTAAGTCTAGCCGTGCGCCGCGGCTCGCGCGAGCGGCCAAGGGGGGCGGAGGACAACGTCTAAGAGGGGGGTGAGGACTCACCGAGAGAGGTCTTTGATGACGGGGGGCCCCTCTCCCACCCCCCCTACGCTCTCGCCTGGGAATAGTCGTCCCTCCCCTCCTCGCCCCTCCCCGGCCCTCCCTCGTCAGTTAGCCCGCGCCAAAACAACAAGTTGCTATCAAGGGGGGGGGGTTCTTGCAGACCGTCTGCGGTTAGAGCACCGGCGGCGAGCCTGGGGCGGAGGCTTCGACGTTTTCTGTCGTTCTCGTCCGCTCCCGCAGGTTCTCCAGCCTCGGGGTGCTCCAGCCTCGGGGGGCAGTGACTGCCCGCAGCTGGCCATCGAGGGAGCCCTCGTCGCGCCGCGGCCGGAAGCAGCTCGGGCAGCGGGTGCGCCTGGGCCCCGGGAGGGGCCTTGGGACCGATTCTGAGCCGACCTCGCCTGTTCCGAGCACGGTGAGCCCGGGGGGGCGGGTTGACGTTCCGGCCTTCTGAGAAGTGGTCTGCATCTTCGGGGGAGCTTCCCCGAAGGCCAGAGGCCTCCCGAGCCTTCTGAGGAGGCCAGCCCCCCTCTCGCTTCCCATGCGAGCTCGCCGCCGAGTCTACGTGGGCGGGGTCATGACGTCGAAGTTCGGAGCTTTCTCGCGTTTTCGTCCGTTCCAGCATGTCTTTCAGCTCGGGATGCATTCCGGCAGCTGCGCCTCCTCGAGAGTTCTCCGGCGGTTCCCAGGAGGCCCGAGTTGTGGCCCGAAAATCACCGGGCGTCGAGGAGGGGGTGATGACAAGGGGAGGGAGGGGGGGGGGGGGGGGGCAAATTTCGGCCAAGGCCATGATATCTCCCAGACTTCGCTGGCACGGGCACGGTCAGGAAGGCTTTGAGCATGTGTGACCCGCCGGGTTCAGCAGACGATGCTGAGGTCCCCAGCCTTGCCGACCCAGCGGTGAAGGAGCGGGCACCCGGAGCGCTGGCAAGCAAGCAGGTGCAGGAGTTGCCGGCGGTGGCGCTTCTGCGCGAGAAGTCACGTGGCAAGATGCAGGCGGAATCCGAGGAGGAAACCCATTTCCAAGGACAGTGAGCGTCTTGCCTTCGAAGGCAAGCATACTGCCAAGGAAATCTCAATGCCCGATGACTCGGACAGGATGTATATCAACGGTACCATGATCAGTCTCTGATGAGTTCCATAGGAGACAAGGGGTCTGAAACGATACCTTCGTGTGGGGTAGGAGCCTGAAGGTACAGGAGCGTGGCGTTATGCGTCCACTTGCGCATCCGCACCCACTTGCCCGTGCGAGCGAATAATCTATCTTACCGTCTGGTCAGAGCACCGGCACCACCACCACGCAGCGCTCTGTTGCCTTTCTTCGACCGATCGGCAGCGCTCTGCTGCTGGTTCGGATGAGCCTGCCTGCCAAGCAGCATCAGCTAGGAGGAGGAGGAGGAGGAGGAGGAGGAGGAGGCCCACGACTTGGGAGAGCGTCCCGACGTCTGGCGGGACATGTCTCGCACAGGCCTCTCGCACGCCCCCGCACTGCGCGTGGCGGCGCTTGCGAGGGGAAGGGGGCGAGGGGGGTGGCCTCCTGCGACGGCTGGCTGTGTCATAGAGGCCGCCGCGTGTTTTAGGTCGGGCCTGTCCCGCAACAGGGGGATTTTCGGCGAAACGCTAAACAGACCCCAAACATATTCCCAAATGGTCAAGAAATATCCAAAACATAGTCCCCAGACTATGTTTTGACTAGTTTTGTATATTCCTCCTGTAGGGGGACGGGCCCGACTCCCCTCGCACGCGGCATCCGCGGCCCCCCGCCCCAGTGCGGAGCTGACCGCACTCATCCCCCACTTCTTTTGGGGGCGGCAAAGGGGGGGGGTGATGACTAGGGGAGGGGTGGATATCCTCAGATTAGGGGGGTGATGACTAGGGGGGTGATGACTAGGGGGGTGATGACTAGGGGGTGATGACTAGGGGGGTGATGACTAGGGGGGGTGGATATCATGGCGGGGGCCATGATATTTCCGCAGATTTCACGGCGCCCCTTCTTGCTCCATTGCGTCCCTGGCCCCCCCGCTGGGCCGCGCACGTGCCGCCGGTCATGATTTGCACCCCCCCTCTTGGCCGCTCCCGACTCCTTCTTGACCCCCCCAGGCCGCGCGCTACATTCGCGAGGGCAGATTCGCGACGACCTTTTCGGTTTGTGCCCGCAGGTCTTCCTCCGGCTTGGCCCGGAGGGTCGCGGCAGGTAAGTCTCGCGAGAGCGAATGTTCGACGACCTTGTCGATTTCCGCAACGTGCAAGTGCATTTTTGTTGCTTCCTCCAGTGCGGCCCGACTGGCTGACGTGGCAGCACTTTTCGCGAGGGCATATTCGCGACGGCTTTGTCGGTTTCCGCCCAGTTCTTCCTTCGGCCCGAGCGTCCCGTGGGACGTGCGAAGGGTCAGTCCAGTGCGTTCGGGGCTTCGTTGCACCCGATATTCGCACCTGGTATCGTAAAACCGCCAGCTATCCTCGATTCCTTGGTTCGAAAGTTCGACGAAGAAAACAGCATAAACGTAAAATGTTGGCGCTCCGCGCTGACTCTCGGATCGGCACCAGGCTCACATGGCGGCGCTTCGGAGCTGCCTGCGCGCCAGGGACGGGCCCCCCAGGCGGATCCAAGAAGTCCGCGCGGAGCTCCGAATATTCATTGGCTTACGCCGCACTTCCAGTCTTTTGGGGCGGCAGCAAGAGTGAAACACGGAGTTCGCGGAGCGCGCGCGATCGCTGGGCAATCTTGGGGGTTCGGCTTGTCCTGCGTAGCGTGTGGGGTTCAAGGGGGGACCTTGTAAGGGATTGTTTTGAAGTTTTTCGTGGTCTTATATGGGTTTCTCGGAGCCTTCACGGGGCCTGTCCCAGGCCTCCCCTTTTCCACCCCCTGGATAGGCTCGGGGATCGCTGAGACCCAGCTGGCGGTTGCGTCCGGCCAGAATCTCGAGAGTGGACCCAGCTGCGTCGACGAGGAGTTTCCTGAAGGCCCAGAGGAGAGGGGGCGGAGAGCGCCCAAGAACTAGGAGTATCATGCCTCGAGCCTCGATCCACCCCGTGTTCCTTCCTTTGCGAAAGGGTGGCACCTGCGACATGGACTCGCCCGCAGCGTGACCGTCGGGACACATGGGCGAGGAGGAGGAGGGGAGCAGGAGGATGTCGTGTGGGGTGGAGGTGGGTTGGCGTGTCCGTTTTCGAAAATTCTCGGTGCGATTAACTGGGCTACTCCGCCCTGATCGCTGCTCGCTGTTGTCTGTCCTTGTCTGCGGCTGCCCCTCGCTGGTAGGACGCCCCGGGCTTCTGTGCCCTCCCATGACGTACCTAAGAAAAAGGAGAGAGGAGAAGGGGGAGGCGTAGTTCGGTTGCAAATCGTGGGGGACTTGCATACCCTCGCGATTCCGTCTTTAGAACGCAGTTGCGTCGGCCAGCGTCGATGTAGCGCTGACAATCGTCGACCCGAGTGCTCCAGCTTCGATTCGCAAGAGCCAACAATATGGTATGAGAGGTTCCCGTGAATTGCCGCCGAAGGGTGGTCTGGAATGGGCCCCGTCGCGATGCGGCTCCGAAGTCTTCCCTTCGCGCACCCTCGAATCGCCACGGAGAGCGCGCGCGATATTCACCCGACCACGGCGGCGAATTACGACGCCACCTCAACCCTTCCGTAAACACGGTGATGCCCATCAGCAACAGCGCAACCGAGGCGACGAATCATGTGAGTAAGGCGCACTATGTGACCCGTGATATCTGGAAACGCCCCCCATTCACCAGGCTGCCGAGAAGCGTAGACCGCCACTGTATGTGGCTTACGAACACAGGTGCCGCCTAGAACCAACCCCGCGGCGGTGGGCTATCCTTGCACTGTCGCCCAAAAGGGCAGCGGGGAATTCACAAGAGTAGCGCCACCTGCGCAGTCGCACACATGGTCGCCCAGCCCACACCGCAGACAAAACATACGCCTGCGAAACTCCAAGGCCACAGCTGACCCATGTTCCTCTGGAGTGGGACCCGCCTGCGACGTCACGGCCAAGACAGTTTACCACGTCGCGGCATTATGCGAAACGCACAGGATAATACCCAATTGAAGCGCGTAACCCAGAAGCACTGGCCAAGGCAACCATTGCCCCAACCCGCCAAAGGCTGGACCAGAAGCACTGGCAAACCCACCATTGCCCCAGCCCTGCCCCAGCGACGGGAGGTTGGGCAATGCCACATGGGAGCCGAGGTGCCGCCCCGAGCTGCCACCAGGGGCGGAGGCCGATGACGATCAGCAAGTGGGAAGTCCCAGAATCATGGATTCAACAACCTGTGACCGCTGCACCGGAGCACTAAGGAGAAGGCGAACTCGATTCGCCATGAGGTTGCTCAACACCGCTATGCCCAGTTTCGCCGCCACGGTCGGCGAGCCAACATGCAGACAGGTAGCTGCAGACGCGGTGTCACCCAGGCGCCCCGCTGCTGTACCATTCGCAACTCGGAGGCTGGCTTGAACCACCAGGCTTGGACCATGCCTCGAGCCGATGCTTGACATGGAGGGGAACAGGAGGAACAGAGAGGAGGAGGGAGAGGGAAAAGGGGCTGAGGGAGGAGGAAGGCGGAAGGGAAGAAAACGGAAGGGGGAGAGTGAGTCTCATTGAAGAAGGGAATGGAGGAGGAGAAGGAGGAGGAGGAGGAGGACGTCGACGAGGAAGAAAAGGATGAGCGGTGCCTGCGAAGAGGAGGAGGAGGAGGAGGAGGAGCGCCTGCGTACAGATGAGCTCGGGAACGCTTCTTCGCCTAAGTTCACTTCCCGCCGCTGCTACCTTTTTCGCTGGCAGGCCTCTCCTCGACATCGTATTCGCCATCCTCACCCAAGTCTATCACCTCTTGACTCTGCAGCCTTTTTTGCCCAACCGCAGCCTTCCCCAGCTGCCGTAACGCTCCTTGCTCGCAACTGCCTCCTTCACCCCTCGCCTCTCTTCTGGAGCTTCTGGTTCGTCGCCGTTGTCGTCACCGCCGTCCTGCCGTCTCCCCCCCTTCCCCCCCGAGGGGCCGCAGGGGCCCACCTCGCCCATGGGGGGGGGGGGGGGCTATGCTGTCCGCATCTTGATGTTATGGCTGCTTGGTTTCATCACCCGAGGGGGGGGGATTCGAATGCCAGCAGACCCAGTATCAGGATTTTTTATGTTCAATAGATATGTGTTAAAAATGAGTATTCCCTCCTCCTCCTCCTCCTCCTGCCGTCTCCCTCCTCCTCCACCTCCTCCTCCTCAGGAGGAGGAGGGGGAGGAGGAGGAGGAGTAGGAGGATGGAAGCAGGAGCGAGGGAGCGAGCAGCATCCAGCGAGCCCGCGCAGGGGGTGCTGGCCCGCATAGAGGAGGCGCTCACGAAGCTGGACGGCCGCGGTCCGATGGAGCAGGCGCGCGCGCCGCCCTTCCGGGTAGCACGCCGTCCACGCGGGAGTCGCCAGCGGCGCTGGAAGCTGTAGTGTCACTGCCCCTCCTGGGTAGGGCTTCGGGTGAGGGCCCAACGAATCTATACCACCACCACGTCGATTCCTCCTCTCTCCTCTTTCCAGCGAGAGGGAGGGGGGGAGGGAGGTGGTGGTGGTGTATATTTTGGGGCCCCCTGTCGGGTTGTGCACACACGGCCCCCCCAGTCTCACAAGGCCCCCCAGGATAGTCCCAGCTGGCCTCAGCAGGCCCCCCAAGTGGTCTGGGGCGGTCTCAGCACCGTGGCGCCGCCTCGCGGCGGCTCCTTCCCCGCAGGTGCTCGTTCGTCCAGGCTCTGTGCTCGATGGCCACGGGGCCCGGTAACCAGCCGCAGGGGCCGAAAGGGGGGGATGCCGCATGCCCCTAGAGGCCGGGGAGTTCAGCCCCAGTGGAAACCACAGGAAACTCCCAGAGACTGCGGCCCCCAAATGTTCCAGGGCGGCTCTGTGTCCACGGGCACTGGGGGGTGAGGGGCCGAGGCAGGCGTTTTTAACTCCCTGGGAACGCACACGTTCGCCTGAGCCCAGAGATGCTGACGCCTCGCTCTTGCGTTGCTGCCCCCGCTTTGCCTCCGTCGGCCTGCCCGCCGAGGGCGACGTGGTGCCGAAGGCCTTCTGCCGAAGGGGTCTTGCCCGTTGGCGTCTCGCCCTCGGCGGGAGGCCGGCCGAAGGAAAGCGGCGGCATGGCCACCAGCGGAGGCTCGGTGGAAGGCGGCGGAAGTAGAAGCGCGACGTACGCAAGTTCGAGCAGTGGCGAAGCGTCCGGGCGTGCCTATAGGCCCACCAGAGGATGTTCTGAGAGCTTTTCGTCGTCTGCACGAGATGCTCTCAGAACACTGCTGGCCGAGACTGCCTGGTTTTAGCACATCGGGCTGTGTGTGTTCTGAGAGCACTTTGTATTTGCTTCCTGGAGCACTGTTGGGGTTCTGAGAGCGTTTCGTGGCAGGCCATGGTCCGTAGGAGTGCCGGGGGCGGTCGGTACCTGCTCAAGAAGGTGGGATATGCAGGGCTTCCGCGGTCGGCCCGCAGGCAAGGGGGCCTCTGAGGGAGGCGGGGCCTGTGCAGTACAGTCGGGGCGCTGACTAAGGAACCCTTTAGGTGGGGGAGGGGCTCGGTGCTCGTTGATTTGCCTTTGGTTTTCCCTGGGCCTTCCACAGGAGATCGCGAAGTGCAGCTTATGGGACAAAGGGGCCTCGTTCCCTATCTAGGGTTCCTTAGGTCAACGCCCCGACTGTATTCCTCGAAGCAGAAACAACGGCATGAACAAATCTGCGGCGCTTCGCGCGGACTTCTTGGATCCGCGCCGGGCCCCCCCTGGCGGCGCCTCCGGCGCCGCCCCTGGCTCGCACATCCAAGAAGTCCGCGCGGAGCGCCAAACAATTATGAATTATGTCTATGCCGTACTTTCTGTGTCTATTCTCCCCGTTTTCTTGCGACCCCCACGGCTCCACAAGGGCCCTGGGGAGCGGCAGACAACGCCTCGAGGTGAAACGTCCCTCGCGGAGAAGGCCCCCAGGGTCGGGGAAACGTAAGACTCGAGTAGGCCGGAACTCGGTTTCGCCGACGGTTCTTGACGAGCGCGTCCTGGAGTTTGAGGGTCCAGTTTTCGTGGGATGTCTTCAGCGAGAGCCCTCGTCAGATTTCGGATCAGGCCTTGTCAGTTTTATGATGGCCCCGTTGGGCCCAACCCGAGTCCCCCGTACCCGAGTCTTACGTTGCGGGACGGGAAAATGACCACAGGCACTGCTTCTTATTTGCGCCGCCTTCCAGCCGGCCGAAAAAGAAGCAGTGGTTGTGATCATTTCCCTGGTGCCAAGCTCAAAGAAAATGACCACAACCGCTGCTTTGTTTCTGCGGGCTGGAAGGCGGCAACAAAAGAAAAGCAGTGGCTGTGGTCGTTTTCACGCTCCGTATACGTCTCCCCGACAGGGGCCAGTTGCCAGGGCCCGTCTCCTTCGTGCCCGGGAGCGCGCACCCGCGGCCTGGGGCCCCCACTCGCCGGCCTCTCCTGCGGGGGGAGAGGCCGCGCCCGGGAGCTCTCTTCGCTGAGCTCCTCTTCGGGGCGGCCTGTGCGCCTGGGCGACACAGGAGAACGGGTCCGGCTGGGCGGATATGTGCGCGCCAGTGGCCCGCGTAGGGCCGTGCGTGAGCAGCCTCGTTTCCACTGCAGCGTGCCGCGCTGGCGGCCCGCGTAGGCGACCCTGTCGGGTCACTAATTGCGTCGCGTTGCGGAAGACCCCCTTCTGTTAACAGCTCAGGTTCGGATGTATCCTAGGCCCGTTGGTGATTGGCTCCGGACACGCACAAAATCAAGTAGCACGCGTGCCATGGCTCTTGCACAAAACGGAGGGGGAAGGAGGAAGAGGAGGAGGAGGAGGAGGAGGAGGAGGAGGTGGAGGAGGAGGAGTAAGAGGAGAAAGAGGAGAAGGAGGAGGAAGAGGAAGAAGAGGAGAAGGAGGAGGAGGAAAGGTGGGGGAGAGAGGGGGCGAGGAATCGGATGGGGCGGAACGGCGGGGGCGGTGCGACGTAGAAATTAAATGGTCGGGGCGGAGGGGGGACGGGGTGCACTGGGCGGGCGGGGAGGGGAGAACGATCGTGGGGGCGGGACAGTGGGGCCGTGCGACGCCGAAATAAAATGGTCGGGGCGGAGGGGGTCGCGCTGGTGGTGGTGGTAGTGGTTGGTGTGGGTGGGTGGGTGGAGGCGCGGGAGGGTCGGGGCGGTGGGGGCGGTGCGACGCCGAAATAAAGTGGTCGGGGCGGAGGGGGCCGGGATGCAGAGGGCACTGGGCGGCTGGGGAGGGGGGAACGGTTGGAGTGGCTGGGCGGTGGGGGCGGTGCGACGCCGAAATTGAACGGTCGGGGCGGAGGGTGGCAGGCTGGGGAGGGCGCTGGACGTGGGGCGGTGTCGCGCTGGTGGGACGCGGGGGGGCTCGGGGGTCCCACTCTGGCGCTGGGGACGCGAGGGAAGGGGGGGGTGCGACGCGGAATAAAGCGTTCGTGGCGGAGGGGGCAGTGGGCGGGGCCCCCGCTGGGGCGCTGGGGACGCGGGGAGACTCGGGGCAGAGAGCCACGACGCGGGGGTCCCACTCTGGCGCTGGGGACGCGGGGGGGGGGTGTGCGACGCGGAATAAAGCGTTCGTGGCGGAGGGGGCAGTGGGCGGGGCTCCCGCTGGAGCGCTGGGGACGCGGGGGGGCTCGGGGCAGAGAGCCACGGCGCGGGGGTCCCACTCTGGCGCTGGGGAGGCGGGGGAGGGGGGGGGGTGCGACGCGGAATAAAGTGGTCCGAGCTCTAGACACCCTGTGCAAGAGAAAAATGCCAGAAGCGCTAAATCAAGTTTGCCATAGTTGGTGTTTCTCCGGATGATGGCAATTCCAGTGAGTGGATTGGGGCGGAAGGGGCGCCCCCAGGTGGACGTCGCGAGACCGAGTCCCGGACCCATTCCCGCCAACGCCCGACAGGTCCAAACACCCAAAGTCATGATTTTTGCCAGAGCGTCGATCCCCAGAGGTCTCGACTCCTTGCCCAAGGCCCGTGTTTCATTCTGAATTGTTTTGTTGACTTTCCCGAGGCCCGGCAAGGGCCCCCAGAGGTCCGAAAACGGGAGCATTTTTCCGCTGTGATTTGTTTGTGACTCGAGGGGGTTATGGGTTACAAGCCTTGGTCAGGTCGCCCCCCTGGCAGGAGCGGGCGCGGCTGTGTTCGGCCAGGCGCCGCGACCGGCAGCGCGAGTGCCCATGCGGGCCCCGCCTCGCACGGCCCAATGGGGACGGGGCGAGAGACGCTCGAGTTGGACGATGTGCTTCTAAGGGGGTCACCTTCACCACCCACCAGACAACCCCAACCCAACCCGGCCCCAATGTGCCCTCCATTCCCAGTGGGGGGGCGCGCCCAGGAACGCTGCAACCACACACGATACTATCTACACATATATATATATATATATATACAGTTGTAGAAATAAATATGGCGGCACGTGCATAAGTATGTACATATGTGTGTATGTAGGGCCTGCGTCCGTCTTCAAGACTGTCTAAGAAGACCCCAATATTGCCCAAGAGGGCCCTCATTGGACCCCCATGGCGTCCTCGTGTGGCCAAGACCATCTATATATGTACAGGTATAGACATGCACACATGCATGTATACATACATGCCGACACACATACATACATGCGTGAATGTATGCGTACACATACATACATACATACATACATACGTACGTACGTACGTACGTACGTACGTACAGACAGACAGACAGACAGACAGACAGACAGACAGACAGACAGACAGACAGACAGACAGACAGACAGACAGACATACAGACGGACAGGCAGACAGACATACATACATGCATGTATTTAGGCATGCATGCATACATATATACACACACGTACATACATGCATGCAGGTTTGCAAATATATAAATAACTATAACTATACATGCACGCAGCCATACATGCATACACGCGTACATACAAACACACATACACATACATAAACACACACATACACATACATGTACATATATGTATATCGAAATCGGTATATGAATACGTATTGCCTGCGCCCAGCCTCAAGACGGTGTAAGAAGACCTCAACACTGCCCAAGAGGGCCGTCATAGGACCCCCATGACTTCTTCGTGTGGTCAAGACCATATAATTATGTATGCATGTCTCGTTGCGCACGTATATACATACACGCATACATCCATACATACAGACAGACATCCATATGATACCGGAGAGAAAACCAATCAGAGTTTTGTTTGGGCTATGGGGCTATGGGTCTATAGGGCTATAGGGCTATGGGGCTATAGGGCTATATGGCTATAGGGGTATAGTGGTATAGGGCTATTGGTCATTGAGCTATAGGGGCTATAGGACTAAAGGGCTAAATGGGCTGAATGGGCTATAGAGCTATAGGGCTA